AGTTTTGTGTTCTCCATTCTTTAAGCACCGTTTGAGCACCGTTTCAAAAGTACCGGTTTGGCACCGGTGTCGGATAAAACCTAAACGATACCCATCCCTATGCATGACATCACAGTCGCATGAAAAAAAGAAGGACCTCATGCAATACTCTGAAACAATGAATACGCTGTTACTGCTTCCATTGTAATTAAGAAGGTAAGGAGCCATGTGCTGCTGATAAAAGCCTGTAAGCTGACCGCCTAAAAGGAGAACTTCTGGCAATTTGCTGGTCTGGAAAATTCAGCTGTGTGGACCCAAAGGTCTGATTGTGCAAGAGCTATGTCGCAGACGCCGTTAACATTTAACAGGCCTTAATTAGCATGTTGAATGTTAAATGTTCCCAACAGTGGAATATAACCCCATTTACAAACAGTGGGATGGTGTTCCCAAAAGTTGATTCTGTTCATCTGGACGTTTTCAGTGGGAGAAACGTTTCGTCGCTCTTCCAGCTGACTTCTTCAGTCTCAGCTGACTGCAGGTGTTTAACCTTATAAACAGGACATCTGCACAATGACTGAAACTAACAGCACTGAGGGAACAATGGAGGTCAGTATATTGATCAGTTTCTTGATCATTAATATGCTGCCATTGAAAGCTCACTAGTGCATGTTGTCACAGTAATCCCAGTACCAGATGGTACCTGTCAGCTCCACCATCTACAAGCCGAGTGCAGCTGTGGCAGTAGCTGACACAAAAACTCAGGTATGGGAGGAGATCAGTTAGACCGTGGAGAAAGTGGATACTCTACCACATACAAACCTTCGTAATATTACTCGTAATAAAAACAATAAAAGCAATAAGATAATCGCATCACCTTTTTCATCGGCCTGTGGATCTTCTTCACTTTCCTCTTCTTCACTTGTTTCTTCACAGTATTTTGAGGAACTCCTGTTAGACCTCCACCCCTGTGACATGACGGAAAATAACAACCAAAGCTGCTTTTTAGCTTTCATTTCAAAAAACGGTGACTTTAATAACACAGCACCGCAAAACTGTGTGACTTACTGCTCTCCTCTGCTCGGAGGAGCACACAAAGGCTAAAGGCAGGCCCATGCTGGCCATCATCTGAGTTTCTTCATCCAGCTCCTCCACCTCAGTCTCCTCTTCCTCCTCTTCACCATCATCTACGTCTATGAGTTGAGAAATGCATTTTTTAAATCATGGCAACTAAAACTAGACAGTACAGCGAGGCTAAGAGAGCCACATTCTTCGACCCCAATGCCTGATACATTTCATAGGTGATTATTTTAATCCCTGGTACTATTAAATATCATGACAGGATGTACCTTGTACAGTGTTTTCCAGGTCAGGCAGAAGTCTGTTATCAGAACGATACAACTCTCGATCCCTGTAAAGAGGCGATGGACATAAAGGACAGATGTAGGAAATCCATAGATGCATCTGTATACATCAGCGTATCCGCTAAAACTCAAGGTGTTTGGGTACTGAGAACAACAACATCTAAACGACTGTGAAAAAATAAAGTAATATACTTGCATTTCTACTCCTATTCAACACTCAAAGCATTCGAGTGACATGACACACGATAGTATTCATTAAATCGTTAAATCCAGGTGTTCCAATCACATCCAGGTGTATAAATCAGCACCTGGACATGCAGACTGATTCTACAAACATTTGTCAAAGAACGGGTTGCTCTTAGGAGCTCGGCGAATTCCAGCGTGGTACTGTGATAAGATGCCGCCTGTGCAGTCGTGAAATTTCCTCGCAACTAAATATTTCACAGTCGTGGTTCGTGGTGTTACAGCAAAGAGGAAGTGAGTGGGAATGACACCATCTCAGCCACGAAGTGCTCGAGCGTAGTGCACAGGTCACAGGTCACCAACCTTTTGCAATTGCTGCAGAACTCCAAACTTGGCCTTCAGATTAGCTGAAGAACAGTGATCAGACAGCTGCATGTTTTCATAGCTGAGCAGCTGAATCCAAACCTTACATGACAAAGCGTCCAATGCAGCGATGTAAAGCATGCTGCTATTACTAGACCTGGAACAAGCACTCTGTGGAAAAGCAAACATCTGCTGTCCTTCATAAGCTCCAGGTTTTGATAACCACCAATATTCTCCTCATAAATACCTTTTTTAACACAAACACCTCTCTGACAGCCTAATGGGAATGTTCAGAAAATGAATGAATGCGAGCAGAGACTGTGAGCCAGGTTCTCATCCAGCGTCCGTGTCTGACCTCGCAGGTGTAAAAGCTTCCATAAACATACTCGTAGCCCGTGTGGGAAGCCTCCCCAGAGTTGAAGCTGTTATAGCTGCAAAGGCTGGGACAGTATCATGGGATGTCACTCAGGTTCATGTGTGTGTGAAGGCAGACGAGTGAATACGTTTGGCACTATAGTGTCTGATTCCACCGCTCTGTGTGCAAGACAGCAGCTCATCCCACGCTGCCACTAGCACACAGCTGCTAACCTTTTCTTTTGGGGTTCAGCATTGTGCTAGCAACAGTAGTAGCCTTGTAATGACTGCGATTCATTCAACTGTGATTGATATGATAGCTTTTTAAAACGCTGCTTTGTGGTTGCCTTCACTCAAGTCAGGTATTCATTAAAACGACATTTATTACACGGAATTTCAAAGATTTGACTGGATTTCGTTTCTCGGCTGGTTGCCATGTCAGCCCGGCTGAGACAAACACCGGTTTAGATCAGACTGTTGTTCGACGTGCTGCTAATGAATTACGTGTATGAGTTGTAGCGGACAGAGGAAAGGTGGTGGAGGCTCACTGTACGAAGGCTCTGGAGCAACGACAATGAATCGTTTCTTCCTCCTGCAGTGACTCCTTCTTGGTGAAGATGATTTCCGCCACCAGGGCTACTCTTCTCATTTCCAGCATCATGGCGGTTAGCTCGCTGCAACAACAAACACACTTTCATTTACTGACGAGCTGCTTGCGTCTTTAAGCAGCATGGGACTCGTTCCTTTATTATTGATTATTTCCGCACTATAAGCTAACAGCGGATTTCCGCTGTTTTTCAAAATAAAAGTTGCAAATCTTTTGTTTTGTTTTGTTTTTTATAGAAATAAATTCTAACAAAATTTTCCCTTTAAAATCACTAAATCTCATGGTCATTAGAACACCAACTGTTTCATTTTAATTGCTTTATAGCTACATTAATGCATCTATTTTTACTGATTTTATTGCGCTTTTTAAATTTAATGGCATCTTTTGACATTTTCCACTTTTACTTTTGAGGGTTATATTCTCAAAACTATGACTGTATATAGTTACTGTTTGAAAGCAGGTGCAATTAGTTTTGTTTTTATTTTGAAGCGAACGAGTCGACCCGGAAACTCTTCCTTGTTCGCGAGTAGAACTCTTTCATCGGCACAGTTTTAGGATAGAAATCTGCGACTCTGTGTTCGCCCGACGACGTTCCGGGTTGATGGACAGGATAGTTGGTAGCTCTAAGAAGCATAGGTTTTGCTAGTGTAATATTGAATGTCGTGCTACAGTTTAATGGCACGCTTTACCGAGTAAGCAGTCGGTAGGTACCGTTTTTATGTCTGTAACCGGGGAGTTGGCTCTTAGAATTAGAGGTTTCTTGAGAAATGTCAGATTTTCCAGCTCCTTCAATGAGACTTAGCTCACAGTCAGTTATTATACCGTAGCCCCAGCTCGCTGTTGTCATTTTGCTGATCAAATGTAGCCTCTTCCTATTCCAGTAACACTGTGGTGCTGTTCTACATACTAATGTATGTAAAGTTGCTGTCAGTTTAGTTGGTTTTAAAAAGCTGCTGGTGTTTACTAGAAATTGGAGTCTGCGTAATCCACTGCGTCCTCCTTTACCTCCTCTCTATGTAGCAGCAGGTGTTCTCTATGCAGTCTGCCTGAGACCTGATCGGAGCGTCAGTCGGCTGAGCTGGAGTTCTCGTGGCTGAGAGCAGAGCACTATGTCAGGCAACCAGTCATGCCTGACGGGCGCGGAGGACACGCTCTCTGTCTTGGTATGCATCCTGTCCAAGGACTTGATAATGAAATCGAGCTCACCTAGAAAGAAATGTATTATTTATTTAACATCAGCTTTGGTGTTCATGCATGACTTTATTTGAAGACGCACATAATACAATAACACTGTCCATAACAGAGGGTTAACACTGCTGCACCATCAGATCTTTCTGTTTGCATGTTCTCTCCGGGACCTTCCTCCCACAGTCCAAAGAGATTGGTGAGTCTAAAACGCCCATAGTGTTGGCCCTGCGACAGACTAGCGACCTGTCCAGGTGTACCCTGCCTCTTGCCCTTACACAGCTGGGATAGGCTCCAGCCCGCCTCAAGGAGAAGCGGAAAAAGATGCATGGATGGATTTTTCACAATATGTTGGCAACAAGTGGATAATAAGTCCCACAGTGTGCATGATGGGATGTCTCTCCAGCCCTCTTTGAGGCCCACTCCTCCACAGAGGAGGCGTTCAGATTGTGGGCCCCACGCCGTTCTAAATTTAAATGTAGATCATTTGTCCTGGACTGTAGTTGTTATTACGATCTGACCTGGTATTAGTAAGAGTGTTATACTATCACTGCGTCACATGTTAAGCATTGAAAGGAGCTTCTATGGTGTCCGTCGCTTAGAAACTCTAGATTCTCCCACAGTGGTATTTTATGTCCAACTGTGATGTTACATAACACAGTCAACCACTGCTGATACAAACAAGAATGTGTTACGTATTTTAAAGTTACCCATCCAGTAATTACTGAGATGTTTTCACCTGGACCAAAGTGAGGGATGTTAGTATTGACATTCTGGTCCTGGTCGACAGGTGTGTTTGTTTCATGCATGGGAGGAATGGGCGGGTCTTGATCAAGAGGACTATCTGAGTGTCTTGGAATACCTGTTGTGGGTCTTCACACCCCTAGCCATCGTCTTCATCGTGCCTTTCCTCATCGTTATCTTCCTTTACCTCTCTATACTCTTCCTTCATGTCTACAAGGTAAGTAAACAGTGCTTTATTGGCTTTTAAATCTCTAAATGGTCTGGCACCTGTTTATTTGTCTGACAGCCCCACGTCCCCACTCGTTCCCTTCGGTCAGCTGAGCAGTTGCTGCTTTCGGTCCCAAAGTCACGGCTGAAACTTAGAGGAGACCGAGCGTCGATGCTTTGGAATAACCTTCCTCTCCATATTAGACAGGCTGCATCAGTGCCAGTTTTTAAGTCTTTATTAAAAACCTATTTTTATTCCCTGGCTTTTAACTCTGTGGGTAACTGACATTTTTATTTTATTTTATTTTTTATTTTTATTGTTTTTTAACTTTATTGCTATGTCTATTACTATGTGCATATTAGTATTGTACAGCACTTTGGTCTACCAGGTGTGTTTTTAAAGTGCTATATAAATAAATAAATGATGATGATGATGATGCTTACACTCGCAGTCACACAGATAAAAGGACCTTCACTGTTTAGTTATCATCTGCAGCTCCCTCCATAATGTTTGGGACAAAAACACCATTTTAGTAGCTTCTGACATCTGCGCAGTGTTTGGAGGACTGTCTGATTGAAACTTTCAGATTTAAGTAAAGGAGTTCACAGCTATTTTTTTACATAGTTCCCTGGTTTTAGAGGTTCAACATCAATAGGACAGTTGACTGGCAAGTAGTTCCATGGACAGGTGAGGCCTGCTCACTTGTTATTTTATAAAAAATCAACCAGGCATCGATTGAAGTTGATTCAAAGTATTGAGTTTGTATTTTATAGTTTTATATATGAGGCCTAAGTAGGGATGGGAATTGATAAGAATTTAGCAAATCCAGTTCCATAATCAATTGTCATTGAGATCATCTCTAAGCAGTATGTCACAGACATTAAATCCATGCATGGTCAAATGTTTGTGCACCCTGGAGGTGTTTGTTGTGATCAGTGGTGGGGTCATTACTCCAGAAAAGTCATTATTGCACATATTACACACTTTGCTTAAAAGTAAGGATTTCTTTGAACTGTTCTTTTTCCAGGTTTGGAAAGATTGTACAGCATACATCTTTCATTACTTTAGAAAATAAAAATTGGATGCACAAATTAGAATCAACACTACTTTAGATAAGTAATAAGGGGAAGACACGCAGCAAAGGGCCGCTGCTCTGGGGCCACACAGCATATGCTGGCCTGCTCACCCGACATCACATTTCTGACAGTCAGGCAGGTTGTTACACTTGTGATGTTGCTGTCTCTTCGTTTGTCTTTGTTGCAGAGAGACGTGTTAGACTGAAACTCTACTTACTGTTTTTTTCCCAATGATCTGTAAACCGCACATCGTTTTTGAATGACACTCAGACAGCCAATCAGGAGACCATGTGGCCAAACACGTCACTCCCAGTCCGACTGGGGACGGGGAATGTTGGGAAAGCAAGGCTTTGTGAAACATTCAAAGCATTTGTGCCAAAATTGTATCGAAGTTTTGAAACAATCTGAAACCTCTCTCCACAGTGACACCTGCTGGCCAACTTGGGTATCCCCACATGTCGATAGTGCTATGCAGTAGGGCTGGGTATCGTCACTGATTTCTAGAATCGATTCAATTCCGATTCACAAGGTCCCGAATCAATTTGATCCGCGATTCGATTTAATTCGATTCGATTCGATTCAATTTGAATCTGGGAAATTTTGACAGTCAGAAATATTATAATTCAGATCAGTACATTTACATATTTTTGTATCTGTTAAAAGGAAGCTGACACTCACAAGACTTTATCAAAGGTGTGAGCGTCACAGCAGAGGCCTTTGTGTCAAAGTAGCTGAAGATAAAACAGAAAAACATGAAGGTGATTCTCCTGTCTGGGATTTTATAAAAATATTCTGCAGGAGATCAAAAACGAAAGAAAACCACTAATCAACACATGAACATTACCTCTGAAGTTACAGCGGTTTTATTAGAGACACGGCTAAGCGTTTTGCATTTTGTTTAATTTTAAAAAGTTTAAATTTGTTCAATATTGAACGACAGAAATGAGGTTTTCTTTTCGGAAGTAAGTAAAAGGGAAAAAAAAAACGTCGGCCGACAGCCTGTAAACAACGGTAGACCTGTGCGTAACAAGCAAGCGAATAATGCAGAAAAGAGAGAGAGAGAGAGCTGTGCATGAAGTGTGATTTTTATCATGAAAAGTCAGCAAAAGTCAGAGGGAATTCTTGACGATGTTTGTGTGAAGCGTAGTTTGGATCTTCTTTTGCTGCTGGTTCGGTCAATATTGTTTGGAGAGAGATAAAACTAACAGCCATATGATCAGC